TTTTTCAATTATTCGATTTTATTATTCTTGATTTAAAATTTTTCAATGTTTCAACTTTGGGCCATTTCAATTTTTCAATTTTTCGATTTATTTATGTATTTTTTTTTTATTTTAAATTTATCAGTGTTTCAATTTTTAACTTTTCGGTTTTTCAATTTTGGGCCTTTTCGATTTCACAATTTTTCATTTCCAAATGTTTCCGTTTTTCAATTTTTTGATCTTTCGATTTTTGACAATCCAGCTTCTGATTTCTCGCTTTTCCAATTTTTCGATGTTCCGTTATTTAATTTTTGGAATTTTCATTTTTTCAGTTCTCCGATTCTTTAATTTTGCGGTTTTTGAATTTTTCGATTTTTCGACTTTTTGCTTCTATTCTACTTGTCGATTTTAAAATTTTAGATTTTTCAATTTTAAAATTTTCCAATTTTTCAGTGTTTCGATTTCTCTACTTTTCAATTGTTTTTTCGATTTTACGATTTTGTGATTCTACATGATTTTTCGATTTTAAAAATTTGTCGACTTTTTGATTTTTAAAGGTCCTGGCGATTTTGTAAGTTTTAGATTTCGCAATTTTTCAACTCTTCGATTTTATTATTCTTGATTTAAAATTTTTCAGTGTTTCAACTTTGGGCCATTTCGATTTTTCAATTTTTGATTTATCGATTTTTCGACAATCCGGCCTTTGATTTTTCGCTCTTCCAATTTTTCGATGTGCCGATTTTTCAATTTTTCGTTTTCCCTGTTCGTTATTTCAGTTTTGGAATTTTTCAGTTCTTTGATTTTTTAGTTCTTCGATTCTTAAATTGTGCGGTTTTTGATTTTTTAAAATTTGGTAAAAAATCAAAAACCGCACAATTTAAGAATCGAAGAACTAAAAAATCAAAGAACCGAAAAATTTCTGGGTTTTTCGATTTTTCGACTTTTTGCTTCTCGATTTTTCTATTTGTCGAATTTTAAATTTTAGATGTTTCAATTTTAAAATTTTTCATTTTTTTAATGTTTCCATTTCTCGGTTTCTCAATTTTCCGATTTGTCAGTACTTCGATATTGTTATTTTTTAATTTTTGGAATTTTAAAATTTTTATTTTTCGACTTTTCGATTTTTTAACGTCTTGGCGAATTTTTAAAGTTTTCGATTTCGCAACTCTTCAACTTACCTATATTATCATTTTTGAGAATTTTTCAATTTTTCGATATTTTAATTTTTCAATTTTTTAATATTTTGATTGCTTGATCTTTGATTTTTCTGCTCTTCGATTTGCGTTTTTTTGATTTTTCGGTTTTTCAGTTTGTGGATTTTTCAGTTCTTCAATTTTTCGATTTTTAAATTTTTCTGTTTACATTTTTCGATACATATTTCAATTTTTCAGTTTTTCGATTTTCGAAAACCACTTTTTCCTGTCAGTTTTACGGAAGTATTATTTACGTCACTGGTTTTGCGGGATATGTAGGGCTGCACTTCAGGAGCGAGGGAACTTCTGTCGAAATCACTGTCGACCAATTTTTTAAATTTTCGATTATTCGACTTGGATTTTTCGACCTTTTGATTTCTCGATTTTTTAATTTTACACTTTCTCAGTTTTTTGGAATTTTTCAATATTCCGATTCTCCAAATTTTCGACTTTTCCATTTTTTTCATTTTTCGATGTCTCAATTTTCCGATCCTGTAGTTTTACGATTTTTCAATTTTTCGATTTTTCAATTGTTTTTAAATATTGCGATTATTAAAAATTCTTTAATTTTTGATGTCTCTAGATTTTTGATTTTTGGATTTCCCAATTTCTGGATTAAACAATTTTTTGTTTCTTCGACTTTTCGATTTTGAGTTCTGGAATTTTAGACTTTCCAATTTTTCACTTCTTTAGTTTTTCGACTTTTCGATGTTGCGATTTTTCGCGTTTTTGATTTTTTAAATTTTCCGAATTTTTAAATTTTCGATTTTTCGACTTAGATTTTTCGACCTTTCGATTCCTCGATTTTTCAATTTTACGATTTTTCTATTTTTCGATATTTCAGTTTTAGGATTTTTCCATATTTCGATTCTTCAGTTTTTATATTTTTCGATTCTTCAGTTTCCCAATTTTTCAATTTTCCGACTTATCTATTTTTTTAATTTAAAATTTTTCAATTTCTCAATTTTTAACTTTTCTGTTTTTCAATTTTGGTCATTTCGATTTCTAAATTTTTTGATTTATCGATATTTTGTTTCGTTTCTCGATGTATCAGTTATTCAATTTTTTAATCTTTCGATTTCTCGATTTTTCGACCATTCGATTTTTGATTTTTCGCTTTTCCAATTTTTCGATGTTCCTATTTTTCAATGCTTCAATTTAGCAGTTGTTATTTCAGTTTTGGGATATTTCAGTTCCTTGATTTTTCAATTCTTCGATTCTTTAATTTGCAGTTTTTGAATTTTTGGATTTTTTATAGTTTGGATTTTTCCATTTCTCGATTTTTCAAATTTTCGAGTGTTTGCTTTTCGATTTTTCTACTTGTCGAGTTTTAAATTTTAGATTTCTCAATTTTTCGATTTTTCAGTTCTTCGATATTACTATTTTTCAATTTTTCGAATTTTAAAATTTTTGATTTTTCAATTTATGTATTAATTTTTCAAGTTTTAAATTTATCTAAATTCATGGTTTTTCGATTTTACAATTCTTTCGACTTCTCGATTTATTTTTCCTTTATTTTAAATTTTTTAATTTTTACCTTTTCGGTTTTTCAATTTTGGGCCATTTCGATTTCTCGATTTTTCAATTTATCAATTGTTTGATGTGTCGTTTCTCGATGTTTCAGTTTTTCAATTTTTTGATCTCTCGGTTTTTCGATTTCTTGATTTTTCGACATTCGGTTTTAAATTTTTCGCTTTTCTAATTTTTCGATGGTCCGATTTTTCAATTTTTCGATTTCCCAATTCGTTATTTCAGTTTTGGAGTTTTTCAGATCCTTGATTTTTCAGTTCTTCGATCTTAAATTTTGCGGTTTTTGAATTTTTCGATGTTTTAAACATTGGATTTTTCGATTTTAAAAATTGTTCAACTTTTCGATTTATCTTGTTTTTTTTAAACTCTAGATTGTTAAATTTTGAAGTTATCAATTTTGGAAATTTTTCAATTTTTCGATATTTCGATTTTCCTTTTTTTTTATTTTTCGGTTGTTCAATTTTTCAGTTCTTCAATTTTTGGATTTTTAAAATTTTTTGAATTCTCAATTTTTCATTTATTGATATTCCGATGTTTCAATTTTTCGATATTTCAATTTTTCAGTTTTTCGATTTTCGAAAACCATTTTTTCCTGTTGGTGCTTTCCACTAGTAATAACAGAAACAACGGTTTGTTAGGTTAGGTTAAAAATACGAATGTATCGTGATAGGACATAAAAAGAGCTATGTTATGGTACAGCAGCAGAGTTGTATTGCCTTTACATAGCATAAAATAATGACTTCAAGTTCCTGGGAATTTTTACCATTAATTATTTCAGTGGCCTAAATATCTCTATCGTTTCATTAATATATTTTAGCAGGAAAGGATTGTTACGTGAGTAACAGTTGCCCGTTATAAAGACAACTTATAACGATATATGTTCCAATTACTTACAATCTAGGTGATTTCAAGTACCTTACATATTTTATCTGTCGAACTATAGCCGAACTTATAAAATTATATACAATATGTTTCTGATTTATATTAAATTTGTTATTTCCAAACAAATTTTAGTTAAGATTAAAGGTAATCTTTAAAGTTTCTACTCTAGTTGGCCATGACGCGTACGTCACCAATGAAACTGAAATGGCTGACGTAAGCGTCATGGCCAACTAGAGCAGAAATTTAAAAAATCATCACGTAAGTATCAGAAATGTTTCCGGGTTAAAATTTGACCTGATTGGACCTGACCTATCCCGATCTGATCAGATCTGAACTTACTGACGCGATTAGAGTATGTGTATAAATTCAAAGCTATAAGCTGACTTGATTAATATGACTTAAACGGTAAAAACAAAGTTGCAGACTGTTTTAACTTAAACTGTAGGTTTTTCATCCGCTTAAGTAATAGTAATCGGTGTTTCCTCAGATGTAATTTCACTGTTAGAACCCTCCCTATGTTACAATGAAAAATGAACAAGAGAAGACGACCGGCATGTAAATTGCGCCGCCTTCCATGTCAGATAATTGAAGAGTCTGAAAGAGAATTATAAAACAACATCTGTAAAACGCATGTGTCGTCGACCAAACATGTTTTTAAACGACCAACAATTAACTTCAACATTTATCTTTTCTGATGGGATTGCGTTAATGGATTCCGGCGATTTAGATGAAATTTTAATAAGACTTGCTACCAAGAATGCGACATTTGGTCGTTCTTTCGTGAATATTTCTGGCTATTAATTAAAAAAATCTCAACGAAACACTGCAGTAAAATCTCGCTAATGAAGAACTTTACCCGGAAGTGGTCCGTGACGCATGGGAAATCCTAGGTTTTTGCAGGTTTAATCTTATTATCAGATCGGTGCAAACCGGGATTACCGGAGTTAGAAGCGAGCTAGTGAGTCCCGGAATTTTTTTGCTCAAAAAATAAAATTAAGTGCGGATTTGGACGCGATGTAAAAGTGATTTTCAACACGACCAATCGATACGCGTTGTGCATTCCTGTAAATGTATGAAGGGCGTGCCATCATTGTGACAACAAATATTGAGAACATAAACAATGGAAGAACTCTTTTCAGGCGGCAGATCCGGCGTAAACTTGCCAGCCGTGACAAACACTCTCGGCTTAATATCAGTACACAAAATTAAAAATAGCCCTATCCTCGGAGATGCGAAAAATTAATAAACAATTACGCACCGTGCCGTGAAAATCTGCCTCTCACTATTCGGAATCGATAAACATCCTAACCTGTAAGCTTCAGTAAACAAGCAAACGATTGGCGGCAACGCTTCATTTGATTTTCGCACAAAGATAGTGGAAATAGCGCCAGAGAGAGTCCTTTCGGTGGTACTTACTTGTGGTAATTCGGTTGTTTCGATTAGCAGTCTCGTTTGACGTCAAACATGAACGCATTCCCAAATTACAACGAAAAACAAAAAAAATTAACCGAAAAAGTTTTTATTTTGACCGACTGCACGAAGCCTCGGATCAAACACAACTGACTGGGTTGTTGCATGGAGTAGTGGTCTAGCCAGCGGATCCAAGGCGCTTCGTTGTTGTCATAACGACGCTCACTAGATCTTGTCGAACGTACTTATCGTTTTTCTGTAGTATTAATCATAACCAAAACAAATATGGGGTTGCGGAAAAACGTTTGTTTAGGTGGAGAATTATGTCATCGCCGTTAATACGTTGGTTGATTTTTTTAGTTTTTGATGAGGCATTATTCAAGAGCAAACCCGGCGCCTCCGCCACTGATCACATTGAGGCCTTTTTTGAAACGTACTTTTCGCATACCGTACACATTTTTAAAATAACGTCCACACACAACAAACTTGAACCATCAAAGTTCAAATTTAGTACTCAGCTGTAAAAAATCATCAAGTTTTAGCCGTAATACACATTCTAAAGCACATTATTTCAATATTTGCAAAATACATGCTTGTAAAACAAATTTACCATCTGTACCATGCTTTTAACTCTATTAAACGGTGTGTGTATTTTTAATAAATAAGCCGAAGATAACTGATGGTTGACATTATAAAGAAAAAAACGATGTTATTTTAAAATTATAACTTCCAGTGAGCTCGGGTATATTTAACTGCCATTTATAATGAATTATTGGCCAAACACTGTCAAGTATTTGCCATCAATTATAGCTATGAGCTCGTATTAGTATATTACTATAAAGATTAAATTACTAAACTCCATTTACAAAAAAAATGGGAAACTTGAAACCAACGTCTTTAATTCACTTTGTTGACCTACCTGTTAGCTCGAAGTATAGGCTGACAAGCATGATGGTTCAATTTCCTATTGTTCCGTGATATTGGCTGCTATCTATTAATTTTTATCTCGAGTTGGTCAATATTTTTATAGTTAAAAATATAAATTCTAATATTTTGTTAACCGGTAAATTGGACCACAAACGGATTGCTTGCTTATAAAAGACTGTGTAAGAAAAAGTTACACTTAGCCCCACCCACCCACCCGTTCTGTCATTTTTTGTTGTAAAATAAAAAATAATGTAATAATAGTACAACAAAAAAATACGATTAACGCTTTTTTTAAAAGCCTGTTAGTTCCCATTCTCAGTCTATAAAAGAACATATAATTAACCCCACCTATCCACCCCGCGTTCATTTCAGTGATTCATTTTATCTAATCCGAATTAAAGTTGGATCTCATACTGAACAGAAATAAAATTGCTAGAATGAGAACAGCGCGGGTATTACCTGCTAAGATAGGACTGACTTTGATAAATGACTTACCCTCTAAGAAAATAGAGGGCGGGTGGGCGGGGCTAGTATTCCTTAAGATAAGTCTGATTTTGGTAAATGAGTGAACAATATTAAGAGTAATCACTGGAATGAAGAGGGGGTGGGTGGGTAGGGTTATTGCTTGCTTATAAAAGACTACGTAAGAAAAGTTAAACTTAGCCCCGCCCACCCACCCATTCTCTAATTTTTTTCTTGTAAAATAAGAAATAAATCTTATAGCAAATAGTATAATAAAAAACTACGATTAGCCCTTTTTTTAAGGGCCTACATTTTATTAGTTCCCATTCTCACTCTAGAGAAGAACATATAATTAACCCCACCCAGCCACCCCGCGGTCATTTCAGTGATGAAAGATGGATGTCTTTCTGGACCCAAATAAAATCGTTAGAATGAGAACAGCGCTGGTGGACGAGGCTAGCACCTGCTAAGATAAAACTGACCTTGATAAATGACCTATCCGCTAAGAAAATAGAGGGCGGGTGGGCGGGGCTAGTATTTTTTAAGATAAGTCTGATTTTGGTAAATGACTGAACAATATTAAGCGTAATCAGTGGAATGAAGATGGGGTAGGAGCTATTGCTTGGTTATAAAAGAGTCTGTAAGAAAAAGTTACACTTAGCCCCGCCCACCCATCCGGTCTCTCATTTTTTATTCCGAATGAAAGGTGGATCTCATGCTGAACAGAAATAAAAACGTTAAAGTGAGAACAGAGCGAGTGGGCGAGGCTAGTACCTGCTAAGATAGGACTGACTTTGGTAAATTACATACCCTGTAAGAAAATAGAGGGCGGGTGGGTGGGGCCAGTATTTCTTAAGTTAAGTCTGACTTTGGTAAATGACTGAACAATATTACGAGTAATCACTAGAATGAAGAGGGCGGTGGCTGGGCGGGGCTATTTCTTGCTTATAAAAGACTCCGTAAAAAAAAGTTAAACTTAGCCCCGCCCGCCCACCCGTTTTCTTACTGTTTGTTCTAAAATAAGAAATAAATTTTATAGCAAATATATAACAAAAAATGACTGTTAGCGCTTTTTCTGAAAGGCCTATTAGTTCCTATTCCCACTCTACAAAAGAACATAAATTAACCCCACCCACCCACCCCGCGTTCATTTCAGTGATTCATTTTATGTAGTTCGAATGAAAGTGGATCTCATAATGAACAGAAATAAAATCGTTAGAGTGAAAACAGGGCGGGTGGGCGAGGCTAGTACCTGCTAAGATAAACCTGACTGTGGCAAATTACATTCCCTCTAAGAAAATAGAAGGCTGGTGGGCGGGGCTAGTATTTCTTAAGATAAGTCTGATTTTGGTAAATGGCATATCCTCTAAGAAAACGGAGAGTGGGTCTAGTATTTGCTAAGAAAAAACTGATTTGGGCAGATGACATACCTTCCAAGAAAATAGAGGGTGGGTGGGTGGGGATAGTATTTGATAAGATAAGACTGTTTTTGGCACTTTTGACATTTTCGACCATTTTTCAACTATGTCCGAAAATTAGCCACCCTCCATTTTCTTAGAGGGTATCTCATTTGCCAAAATCAGTCTTATATTATTAAATACTAGCCCCGCCCACCCACCCTCTCTTTTTTTAGATGCTATGTCATTTGCCAAAATCAGTTTTATCTTAGCTTAGTACCTGCTAAGATAAAAGTGATGGGTAGTGGTTGATAAGACAAAACTGATTTTGGCAAATGAAATACCCCCTAAGAAAAGAGAGGGCGGGTGGGCGGGGCTAGTATTTCTTAAGATAAGTCTGATTTTGGTAAATGACTGAACAATATTAAGAGTAATCACTGGAATGAAAAGGGGGTGGGCGGGCGGGGCTATTGCTTGCTTATAAATGACTCTGTAAGAAGAAGTTAAATTTCTGTTCAATATGAGATCCACTTTTAATTCAGACTATGACAATATTAAGAGTAATCAGTGGAATAAAGAGGGGATGGGTTTACGGGGCTATTACTTACTTATAAAAGTCTCTCAAAGACAAAGTTAAAGTTAGCCCCACCCACCCACCCGTTCTCTCATTTTTTTCTTCTGCAGTAAGAAATAAATCTTATAGCAAATATTTAGTATAACAAAAAATTACGATTATCGCTTTTTTTAAATATAAATATAATATATAATAATTTCATTAATTCGTATTCTTACGCTACAAAAGAATATACATATAATTAACTGATATTATAGACTTATAAGCACAGTACAGAACTCCTTCGTTACCTCGTCAAGTAAAATATGGACACACGCAATTTTTAGTTTTACAAAAAGTGGAATTCATTTAACTGTACAACAAATCTTATTTTGAAAAATTAAAAAAACTTATTTTGCGTAGTGTTATTTGTGAAAACCTATGTACGTTAATAAATATAATTAAGTAATACCAGTAACAGTGTAAAAAGCTAAATGGTATCCTATAAATGTGTTTTGACAAATTCTAAATTTTTTGTGTTTGTCTACATCCAACTTTTTTTAACGACTGTGGCGTCGTGCCGTTCTTCGAAGGACCGTAATAATACTCGATTGTTTAAACACTTATATTACATTATATATTTATATATATCACAAGTTGTATGTATTAGAGGGCATCGCGCCCGTACCGCCGTCGCGTTCGGTGGTTCTTGTCGTTCTTGAATGTTGTTGTCGAATGAATTCGGGAGAAAGCGCCCTCCGTCCGGTGGGTGGTGTGGTGGGGTGCTTACCCTAGGGCAGGACCGGGCTTGCCCGGCTGGTCTGATTCAAGCCCGTACCGAACAACGACATCATACATTTTTCAGAATTATTGTAAAGCTTGTTTTCTTGAACTCACTAACGTCTCATGTTTTAAGCACCCATACTCCGCCACTGTCTATGATTCGAACGATTATGTTACGAAAACACACTTGTTATTATAATATCAACAATTTCGGAAAAGTTTTGTTTTAATTTCTATTGTTTACCATTCATTTCACTTACTTTTACTTACTAATTTCGAGTAATTTACCTAAAGTTGTTTGCAACAAATTCCTAGCTCTGAAAATATTTGTGAACGAACTTACTTTTCAAAAGATAAAAGCAGTATCATATGTTGAAAAATTAAGGCGTAAGTTTCAGAAAAAATATTCACTGAAAAATTATAACGACCGCCAAAGCGCCGACCTGACACATGCAAATATAGAAACGTCTAATAGGATTTTTTTTTAAGGAAATTTTGAATAGTTTATGCAGACACAGATTTATCAGAAAACAATGAAGCCTAATTTTGAATATTCTGCTTTTGAATACTAATGCAATAGTGCAAAGTGCATCACAATCGCACGTGCATTGTTTGTCACTGTTTTATTTTATTTCAACCCATATCGCTTATGGGTGCATAACGGATAGCCTACTTATTAAACGGCATCAGTTTTGCGTACACTACAGAGCAAGAGTTGAGTTTTCCTCTATGTATTGTGTTGAAGAGCACTGTTTAACTATGGCAACAGTGCATACCCACCTATCAAGATTAGAATAACAATATTTTTTCTGATTTATTCTTAAAATATTAAAAATAAAAGCATTTTATTGGCCAAAAATGTATCGATCAGAAATAATAAAAGTAATAAGCTCGTATTTTCAGCGAGTTTTCCCATTTCAAAATCAATATCCTTTCAGCAAAGACACGCATGTTAATTCCAACACGTGCAAGATAAAGAAGCAACCCAGTCGGATTCATACACCACAAGTATAGGAGTATATTATTGTATAACATTTAAATCACTTTAGTACAGAAACTTTTTGGACGACCTATCAAATTCTTGGTTAGCGTTTTATCACCTACATGATATACTTAATATAAGTATATACAAACTTTGACAACAATCGTATTAGTAGCAGATAGTTTATCTATTATCTCTAGGGGTGTATAGCTTGACAAAAAGAAATATGTTGTTGGAGTTATCGATTTCAAAAAGGCTTTTGATAGAGTAAATAGAGAAATTATGAAACAGATTTCACAAAAATATAGATAGTTTCTCTCAGAAATGATAACAATGATAAAACCATTGTATTCACACTGCCATGCTTTTGTGGAATATAAAGTAAAAAGATTAGAAGCAATAAATAATATTGAACAAAGAGTTAGACAAGGGTGCGCCTTTATCACCTGTTCTGTTTTTCCTCCTTGTAGATTAGATAATAAAAAAATAATAAATGACTGAAAGGGCTTACAGTGGTAATTTAATATACAGCTACAAGATTTAGAATTTGTGGACGATATATGTCTAATTACAGAATACTACAACCATTTACAAGGAAAAATAAATGACTTATCTCAAACAAAGAAACTGATTTTTTACTTTGAATTAAATTTTGCTTTAAGATTAATATTCTAGAAATAACAATATTCCGATTTAATTATTGTAAATACTGAATACATTGTTATAAATGCTTTTTGAAAAATTTAAACAAAAAATTATATTATTGAAAAAAGATCAAATTAACATTTAAAAAACAATAATTCTACAACACATGTTCGAAACGCTCTCCATTTACTTCCTGGCAATAGTAAATACGTTGCACAAATTTTTGAAATCAATCTGTTAGAATATTAAGGTAGGAGGAATATCAGCAATCACATTTCATATTCTTTCTTGGAGTTCTTCGATGCTTAGTGGTCTCGATTTTTTACATAACCCCACAGATAAAAGTCAAGTGGAGTTAAATCGGGTGACCTAGCTGGCCACTCAACTGCTCCCCTTCGTCCTATCCACCTTCCAGGAAAAGTTTCATTCAAGTAATGCCGTACTTAACATCTGACGTGAAGTGGTGCTCCATCTTGTTGGAACCAGATGGACTCTGAAGGTAAATTTGGGTTTCCACTCATTTCGGCGACGTGTGAAAAAGTTGCGAGAAGCCTCCTCTCTAGAAAGAAAGGAAGGAAATGGCGGAGAGGTAACAGAGCGGAATTAAATAATCTTGTACCAATTTTCCTTGCGATTTTAACCCTATAACCATAAAATCACTAAAGTTAGTAGTGTTGTACTAAAAAAGGTACATATTTGAGATAATGTTTTTTAGTAAGAGACCCGTAATTATTATAACTGCGCAGAACATATAAATGTGGTTATACTATTACACGTGTCTCAAATAACATAATCAAATTTTCATATATACCTAAATCTAATCTCTTCCATGAATAATAATCGTTTTCTCTTACCACTACATGTTTTATATTCTCCTGGAGAACGGTTTGTAATTGAGATTTATATTTTGTATATCTTGGAGCTACATCACCCTTTACATATTAATTTTTGAAAAATTTCAAATTTTATGTTGTCGTCATAAACATGATTTTTCCGATATGTAACCAATGGGTAATATTTAGCTAAAGTATGGTTAAACTTGCAATTTGCATTCTTTAAACAGATAAAAAGTTAATATACTTATGAGCACTCCATCATTTAAAAATAAATAAAGGTAACCCAGACAGATACATTTTTAATCTCTGATGTCACATTCATCGTTAAAAGTTGCATTTTTTTATCTCCTAAAAAAATTCCATGTGGTTAGTAATTTTTCCAATATTCAACAATTGATATAATCACTCTTTAGTCTTTAGTTTTTTTCCAGAATATAATTCAGGAATTTCAAAACCACATTCAAGAGTTTTCATTGTTTAAATTATTATGGGTAAAATTATCGGTCTTCAAATACATTGATAACAATATGATAATCAAATAGCGGCTTTACATATTAGTTAACGATGGGCAGTGAATGTTACTGTAACGAGTGAGCGGCAAAAATTTAGTACTAATTTGATTTGACCTGACCTGTCCCGACCTGACCTGACCTGACCTGACCTTTCTATTTTCTAAAATAAACAAATTTTCCACATTTCTGTGAATTACTTAACAAAAACCAAAAAATTCATTTAATATTATTATTTTCTAGTAAAAACAAGTTCAATAGCTGCTGCATATGTATTTAAATAATGAACGTTTTAATCTGTTTTACAGATTTTTATCTAAAGCACTTTGTTTCCGTGAGATCTGAACCGCTTTGTTCCTTATAATTTGTATTGTTGTTGTGGGATCTACATTAAAATACGTTGCATTATTTACAGTGTTTTAAACAAGGTCTTCTAAGAATCGAAGAGTCGGCACTTGTTAATTATAACATCAATAACAATTTATTGTCCAATCAGCATTTGTCTAGATTTTCAACAAACGATATGAAAAATGAAAGCTCACTACAGCGATGTCCAGGATATCTGTCTATTTTATATTTATATTCGGTGTTGCTTTGCTGGATTACGTGTGTATTGATTTATTATATAAAAAATGTTGTTACACGCTTGGTTTCCGGGTGCTGTCACCATCGTTATAGCGCATAATTAACTTTTTCAATTAAGTTTTCCTTTTCCTTTGGGATGAAATAAATTATTATCATTCTCACTCTTGAATAATTAAACGAAAAGACGCTACATTTTTTATTAGATAATTTATTTGTCTCCTTCGAATTTATTTTTCGGTGCTGGAAAATCAGATGACGTGGAATTGGCTTTAAATCGCAGTCAATGCCACGACAGATCTCGGGTTGACCGAGTCAAGAGGTCGTTAATTTAGTATGAGTACGCATCGAGGGGCGCACTAAATGGATCAATGAACGAACGTGTGTCCATCATCCAGGCGTCGAAAAATACTGCAAATGCGGTCTCAGAAATAAATTGGACGCCAGCTCTCGAACTGCCACATTAAACGAACTTTATGCCCCAGCTTGTTGCTAAAATATTACAAATTCCTGACTAATTGCACTTTAATACGTTTACGCACAAGTTAGTTTAAAATAATTTATCAAAAGGTCGATAGGTTCATTACTGTGTAATGACGTTGTTTCCCTAGCGAGTCAAAGATAACACGAACAAATAAGAACCGTCTTTAGAAAAATATGTTTTTAATGAGTGTTGGGATGTTTGGAAAATACGACTTTGAACAATCTCACGTGTACTGATCAAGATCATAAATAAGCCTCTAATAAAGTAAAAGTTAAAATTATAAATTCAATGGGCTGATTGACCTGGTTAAATAATATGCACCGGTAACATAATAATAATAAAGATATCTTTTTATACGACCAGTCATTACCATAAATTACACTGTGTAAAAATGTTACTGTTTTATAATTCCAGTCCCAGTTGTCTTTTACAATCAGTTCTTCGTCTTTCTGTAAGCGAAAGGATAATCGACGGGTTTGTGTAAAGCCGTACCAAAGGTGGCTCCGTAGGGACCCGTGAAGTAATTGCCACCTTTATCGTGTAGTTTTTGCCAGAGGTTCAAAGGATTGAGAAATTGAACGCCACCGTAATTTGGATGTGTTGTCAAAGTGACGAAATTTTTCACTGCATCGGTGACGGGTTGTAACCAAGGACCAATGAAATTCTTGTGTTTGGAGGCGATGTTCTGGGGTAGTACCTCATTTAGTTTTGTCACTTGATGTTGACTAGTCTGGATTGAGGGTGTCGTAGTCTCCATCATGTCTTCGCAGAGCACCTAAATGAATTATGACAAGTTTTGGAAGACAAATATGAAACGGTACTCACGACGCCGATGACTAAAAGAACCAAGACATTCGTCATTTTTTTATGAACTGGCGAAATATCGCGTAGGTTGCTATTTATAACCAAAGTGTACCCTTATAAAATTTGGAATACATTAAATTTTATTAATTATGTGGATAATGGTAAAATTATGCAACGATTCCAAAACATTAGGAGAAAGTGACAAAATTTGTACAGTGCATCGTCCAACAAATTGGGTACCGTTATCAGAAATGCCGGTTTTGCAAATTAAACGAATTTATGGCAAGATAATTTATATTTTTACATTAATTTTACATGTTAACAATTTACATAATATTTTCTACAAGTACGGTCTGCTTCTGGTTTGACTTACAACACGAATGGTAAGGGTGGGATATATCTTAAAGCTGCGTTTAAGTAACTACTGCTCTGTTCCAAGTCTTTTAGGAGATCATTGATTCTTTTGATGATTTGCGGATTTTTTGTGTCTCTTCTTTGCACGATCTTCGATAAGACTGCTCTCAACTGATCCGCTGAAGTTCCAGTGGAAATATCGGCAAGCTCGCGTAGAATGTAGTCGGTGTAGCCCTGTGAACAATGTAACAACATATGCAACCAACCTTTCACGATTTCAAGCTTATCACAAGCGTACGCTTTCAATAATACAAAAAATAGCAACAATTCAGTCATTATTATTATCACATTAGAATTGATCAGTCCATCATTAACGGTATTAGAACCAACTAGATGTTACTATTGTTACTAAAAATTTGAATTATCAAAATTATTAATAACACGAAAATTCCACTTCGCAAACGTGCCACTCCAAAAATACTTCGTCGTTGAAAACACCTTTTAGCAGCAAACTTTCCAGGCAAAAAGTTGTTTGTGAGTTAAATAAAATGGAAAACACTAATACCTTTCGTGGAATTTTAACGCCTCTGAATTGATCAAACCTGTTCTGCCAGACTTGTCTGTATCTAACAAATTATCGTCGTTTTAAACAAAACCACCTCGTCTAGCCATAAGGATGATTAATGTTCAAAGAACTACTCACGCTGTATTTATTTAGGCCCAGCTTCTTGGATTCTTTGTTAAGGAGATCGTAGAGTGATAAAAGCGACACATACGCTCTCGTCGGCGGCACCTTCTTTTGCCTTAACAACTGAAACCTGAAATCCGAATCGTCGTAAACTTGCGAAAATTTTTGCACTTGACCCTCACGATCTTCAGATTCTGATACGTCCTCGATGCGATTAACTAATCTCAGTAAATCACTTAGGTCTTTACCGACAACTAATTCAATATTTTGGGGCACTTCGTCGTCTTCTAAGCTTCTTCCTTCTTCTTCCACCGGGTACTTGTATCTGTCGAAGTAGTTGTACCCGCTGGGGTACTTCAGTCGTTCGACGTATTCCTGATACGATAACCCCTTGGCGAAGTAAACGTCGGGACCTGGGGGAGTTTCCGGGGCGAAAATCCCGGGTTTATGGGGCCGTGTCGGTCGCATGGTGGTTGTCGTGGTAGTACCGGTAGTCGGTTTGAGGTCGTACTTCATGAGTTCCGTGATGTGTGCTATTATTTGCATGCTCGCAGGAATAAATGAGTCTAAAAGAAGTGGTTTTTTTTCCACCATGGGAGGGCCCCTTGTCTGCCCCAGACATTCCTGTAGTTACCTTAAAGTGATTAATGGGTCGCATGTATCATACTCACGTACCTGACCGAAAACCAACACTAACAAACAAATGTGGTACATTTTAGTTTGCAGACACTCAAAAGCATACTGTCTTGTTTAACATTCATGGACTAAGGCGGTCTTAATTGTGTTTTATACAGGACAACTGGAAATAACCGTACCATGTTGATGCTGTCTGTATATGGCATGTCCGACTCAAATCGCTTTTTTGTCTGGTCGAAACTGTGTCACGCACTCGCTGAATTACGGGAAAATTTAACATACAAAGAGTGTCGATTGCTTGAAAGAGTGGTACTGACTTTCGGACTCATGCTGTATAGCGATTTACTCCTAAATTATGAACAGGACGAGTTTTCAAAGTTGTATTTTTATTCAGACGAGTTGTTTGGATTGGAATTTGAGCTCTAAACGGTTTTGATTTACAGACAGATGGAATTCGATTAACCTTGAGGTGTTAACGAACTTTTTAGAATGTGCCGTTTTTTACCTACATTATTTACATTTTTTAAAGAGAATTGTTTGCGTATGCAATAACGATTTTGTAAATACGTGCTGTAGGTACTACTTTATAACATTGTTGGTTTAGATTCTAGTCGAGTACCTACTTACCTACTAACGACACGAATGCAGTCGGAGAGACTATGTATAACCGACAACCAATTCACTTTTTTTGTCTGCACGCAACGGAAGGTACTCCTTTAATAACATATTTCTCCTCGATTATTAATTACTTTATTTAACAACAATGGCAACTTTATCACAATAAATATTTTTTCCAGACACATACAACCACATTCCGTTTTGACTTTAAAGTTTATAATTAGTGTGAGATTAAAAGCTAATTAGTTATGACAGAATTAACACATACAATATTAAATCGATGTTGGTGTGGTCGTACTTCCAGGATGATTCAATTGTGCCGCCGCACCATAAGCTAGACCCACCAAGCTCCCAATAAGTTCAAGGAAGAATACTCCAATATTAGCAGGACTGAAGTCCATTCTATTAGCACTAACTTGGTTTGCACTTTTGTTTGCCTTGGTCGGTTTATTGTAGACATAACCCACTTTTTGTTCGAGGTTTTCACGACTAAAGTCTTCGTTAAAGTCTTTGTCAAAATCGTCTTGTTCACTTTCAACTTTATTATCAGGCGAAGCTGGGTTTGAAAGACTATTTAGCAGTCCAAGTACGTTCATTATTTTAGCAAGTTTTCTTTGGACGAAATTAGGCATTGGGTTTTCATTTTGGTCTTTCTCTTCATTCTGCTGATTTTCTACCGAATCTTTAAAAAAGTCATCGTCATCCAACGAATCTTGGAGATTAGCTGCTTTAGTTTGGCGAAGATTGGCAATATTACCACCAGATGTAGAAGCAGAAGCTGATGCAGAAGACGCAAACAGCACTAGAGCTTGTGGGGTGTTATAAAATAAAGGGTTTGACAATATTTCACTCACAAACTGAAACAAAATCAGATATTAAAACGCGATAGTTCGACTAATCCAAAACTCACCACTAAAAGCAAAAACAGTCTCAAGAGCACCATCATGCTGTTTGGTAGAAAAAAATCTGGTAGGAACAAAGACTTTTCCACTCAAATATTCATCCCTACCACTGTGTATTACACAATTGGTTTAAAATAGGTTTTGTCTGTTGTGGAAATCAACCTTCGATTTTAATCATGAGCTCTCCTATGTGTCGACCCCTATGTTTTGCAATGAATTTGAATAATCTTAGTGAGCCGCATTGTGACGCTTATGGGCTGGTTGATTTAATCAAAATATTTCTTAATCGCCATAAAGAGAAAAAAAAAATGCTTAGCGGTACGTGCACTTCTTTGTATTCATATTGGACGCCCATGTTGTACTCTGGTAGAATTTTAATAAGGAAAATTGCATAAGATGTGATCGATTCTTTTATCATTTAGTGTTATGTGACCCCGGCTTCGAGGTTAAACATTGGGAGCAGAAGTTTTTAATGCTCATGAGGGTTTTTTCTTCCAAACATGAAACGTCTATTAGGAAGGTTTGGATGTCATTAAAAATTCGAGAATGGGAACAGAATTTTAGATACAGTTTTACTGGTCAAAATACTTAAAAGATACTCAACCAGTTTTAAAAATTACGTTTTTATCTTTGTGTATGTTGTAATTATTACATTAAATACTTAGTAATCGAATATCAAAATGTAGCAAATGAACTAACGTTATTACAGAGTTCACTGTACTTTTACAAATAAAACTTTGAAATCAACACTCATATAAGAAAGCATGACTTGGATACACTCCAATTATTCTGTATGTCACATATTTGTTTAAGAAATTGTCTTTGAATTATCTCTCGACTGGATATATTTGTCCCATAAATGGGATTTCGAACTCTCGATACATATTCTATCCGAGATCTTACAACGGCAAATACATATTTTTAAGAGCAAGAACGTCACGAATTTCCCTAGAGTAGCGAATTATACAACCCCGAAATTTAAATGCGGCAGCAGTAATGGAATTAATGTAATCTACAAAACTCAATTTGTAATCAAAATTAACATTCAAATCAGGCACAAGTTTTTTTTTTCTCCAACATTATTATCAAGGCAATACTCAAAGTGGTGATTTTACGAAAGAAACGTACAACACTATATTTTTTACCAGTGAGAGGTGGGTAATTTTTACAAGATTGAAAAATTTGTTTAGTAGTCTTGCAGAATAATGAACAGATAAAACTTAAGCAAAAAATTTTATGTTATTGGCAATTTTCTGGTTATAAACCATTTAATGAAACATACTGAGATGAATTTGTTAAATATGACTTAATTAGAGTTATCAACGAAGTAGATAAGCCAAATTTCCTGAAGAAAAATGAACAGCTAGTATTAAATTTTACCTCTGATCCTTGTGAACGCTATATTGGCAATCTACTTGAAGTGCCAAATTTTTCACTGGTCAAAGTTGCAATCAACAATTTTGCGACATACCGTCCACATGAATCGGTTGTTTCATCGACATGAAAAAAATTAGATTGTGGGCTATAGTTTGACGAATAGCCTGGTTTGTTATTTGAAACACTTTGGCCACGTAGTTTTTCTTAAGGTATTTTCATCGGGAAGTGACTACATGGTACGCTTTCTATGAAATGATCGCAGCTTGGGGTTATTTAGTTTTGATAAAGGAATATCGCCACTGAGGAATGCTTCACATAATTCGAACAATATTCTTGTTGATTTGTCATCTTCTGTATGTTGGAGAAAGATCCTTCATGACTTCACATTAGTCGAATTTTTCAGCTTATTTTTACTCATCTTTTTACAGCACACTTCGCAGAAAAATAGATTGAGTATTTTCATCTGACTGATAAAATTAAGAAAGAAACAGGTAAATGACAAAATGAGCAATTGCTAGAAGGATGCTACCTGATGAAGAGTTAAATAAGGAAGAATAAATACTAATAACAATAATAATAACAGATTTATTTGCAACAGGTTCGCACCCAATAACAGGAAATATATAATATTGAACCAAAAAAAAAATATATGTAAAAGAAATGACAGGAAATCTAACTAAGCTAAAAATACGAACAAAGAAAAAAATACTTAACTATCTAGCTTCACGTAACTGAATTATACATTTAAACAAGTGTTTCTCAGAATCAAAATAAATATCACATTCTTTAGAAATTAAGTTATTTTTAACTGTATTTAAACATAAGAGGCAACAAAAGAAAGAAATAAAGAGAAAATGGTCAGAATGGGATATAGAAAGTTAACGGTAGATGGCAAAAATTTTGAATGGAACGAAGAAGAGGGCAGACTCAAGGAGGTAGAAAATTTTTAGTAAATAGCTAAAAGAAAAGGAGGAAAAATGTAAGGAAACAAGGCAAAGGAAAAGGAACAAAAATAAAGGATGCAGATAGGGAAATCGGAAAAAGGAAAGCTGGTACAAAATTAGGAGAAAAAGGGGTGAAGGTACTGTTTTGGAACGTCCAAGGGTTGTGGAAAAAGGGAAAGGAATTCTGGGACTACGTGGGAAAATTTGATGTGGTGGGTACAAAAAGAAAATTTGGAAAAATTTGAAGAGACACTACCACAAGAATATGTGTGGAAGTGTCAAGGGGCGACAAAGAAAAAGAAAAAGGGGAGAGCAAGCGGGGGAATAATAATCGGAATTCGAAAAGAAATGCAGGAATTGGAAAAGGGAAGTAATAATAAAAACGGATTAATGAAGAAGGAAATACAGCTGGGTAACAATCAATGGGAAATAATAATCGTTTATAGCAAGAAAATGGAGGAAACCAAGATAAACATAGAAAAGGAAACAAAAGAAAAAGGAAATGAAAAAATACTTATAGGAGGGTATCACAAGACTGGGTGATAAGGGGACAAGAATAATAGATAAAGAAAAGGGAGAGAAAAGAGGATCAAAAGACAAAGTAAATAACAAATAAGGGAAAATATTGTGGAAGATAATAGAAGAAATGGGATGGGAAATTTTGAACGGAACCAAGGAAGGAGATGAAGAAGGAGAATGGATGTACGTAGGGTCTAGGGAAGAATCAATTATAGACTAAGGGATTGTCAACGAAGAGGCGTGGGAAAAATAGAGAGTTTCAACGTGGGGGTTAGGGTAGAATCAGACCACATACCACTAGAAATAAAAATTAAAGGAAAAGAGCAAGAGTACGAAAAACAAGAGGGAAGAAACGAAAGAAAAGAAATAGAAAAAAGAATATAGGATGCAGATGAAAGATACAGAAGTAGACTAGAAAAAAAGAAAATTGATGTAAAAGAAGATATAGAAGCTATGATAGCAGAACTAATCAACTTAATTGTAGAAGTCACGGAAAAAAGAACGATATACATGTGGCAAGGGAGGAATAATGGATGGAACGGAGAATGTAGTTAAAGAGAAAAGCAAGAGAAAAATTAAGAAAATGCAAGAATAATAGGGGAAGGAAAGAAGATTATTTAAAAGCAAGAGAGAATTATAGCAGAAAATGTGAAGAAATTGCTCAATACGGCGTACAAAATATACGTAATGATATTAGATGAGAGGTTACGGAAGGAGATGGAAGCAAGGGGTATGTTACCAGACGGTCAGGCAGGGTTTAGGAAAGGAAGAGGTACTATGGAGAATCTGTACATCCTGCGGCATTTAGGGGGGAAGAGAAATAAGGAAAGAGGGTGGACGAATGTACGCATTGTTCATAGATTTCAAAGCAGCATTTGATAGCGTGAAGAGAGCGGAAATGTGGGAGTATTTGAGGAGAAAGGGAGTAGATGCGTACCTGGTAACGAAAATGAAAGAAATATATGAAGAAACAGTATAAGTAAGATTAGAGTGAATGGAATAGAGAACGAGAGTTTTTATACAAACAGAGGAGTGAAAGAGGGATGCCCACTCAGCCCCGCATTGTTTGCAGCTTATCTAGGAGATATAGATGAAATGTTCAGAAAAGCACAGATAGGAGAGGTGGTAGTGGGCAAAGAGAAAGTGTGGTAGTTGGATTACGCAGATGATTTGGTGATTGTGGCAAAGAAAAGAGGAGAAATGAAAACAATGATTGAAAATTTCGAGAACTACGTACAAAAAAGGAGTTGGAATTGAATGTGGAAAAAACAAAAATGGTGAAAGAATTCCAGTACTTAGGATGTACATTAAAGAGCAATAACTCAGATAGAGCGCATATTCAAGAAATGGTCCGAAAAGCGAACAAAGTGATAGGAATAGTATGGGGAATAGGAGAGAGAAAATTTTGTTTAATAGTTTGATCAAAAGTGTACCTATTTATATACGGAGCTGAGATTTGGGGATGGAGGGAACATGATAAAAGAGAGAAAGTACAAGAAAAATACTTAAAACGGACATTGGGATTGGAAAAGTATACGCCGGGGTTTTTCGTTTCTTATTTCATTGGTGAGTGAAGTACTGTATTATTTTATTTTTATTTTGTCCTGTAATTAGGATTTTTTTCCAGTTGGACAATAAAGTATAAAGTAAAGTATTATTAAAGTATTATATAGTGAGAGAAGAAACAAAAATGGAGAAAATGAGAGTGGAAGCGAGTAAAAGGGCGGTTGGATTTGAAGAGAAGTTTAGTGAGAGAGGTGATTGTAAAATATTGCAAGAATTTGGAAAGAAATAAGAAAGAAAGGGGGAAAACATGTTTGGAACGAAAGAGACAAGTATTATTATGAAGGAAAGGGATATGCATGTGAAGAAAGAATGAGAGAAATGGGAAGGAGTATGAAACAAGAACTGAGTGTAAGAGATAAGGATATAGATAAGCAAGAACGCAAATCGAGAATATCGGAGTCTAGATATAATGCAGAGTATAGAAAAATAGTAAAGGATGAAGTACCAAAATACACACAGAGAGAGAGTATAAAGGAGGAAAGAATGATAGTGAAATTTTGGTGTGGAAATGAAGAGAAAGAGAATAATTTTTGGATGGATGAAACTGACAGAAGGTGTAGGATTTGTTGGAGAGAAGGAGAAACAATAGAGCATATGCTGGAAGGATGTGAAGGATTGAGAGAATCGGAGGAAAGTATGGAATAAGTGCTAAACGAGGATGGAAGAGGACTGGACTGGATGAAAGAAGTA